CGCCGGAAGAAAGAGGAGAAGCGGAAAGAGATCCGAAAAGGCCCAAGGATCTCAAGATCCCAGTCTGAGTTATAGTCCTGGAGTGGCTCAGGATGCAAGGGGCCAGGAGGAGACCAGTTGGGAAGTAAGAGGTGCCAGTGTTGTCATGGCAGAGCAGCATCAGCCATGGTGGTGAGCACCCAGCCCTTCCAGATCAGGAGGCCACATTTGCTCGGCCCTCTGGTGCTGGGTCTGAGCCCTGACTGAAGGGACTGAGCCTCGGGGCTGGATTTCCTCCCAGGGATCTCCCTGGAGTGAGTACCAAGCATGCCATCAGAAGACAAGTGCTGAAAACATGACCCTGTGGGGACTGCTGGATCCTTCTGGTGGATTAGGGCTACTGGATGACTGGCTGCCACTCTTTGTGAGGAAGCAGCAGAAACACGTTCTGACCATGAGTGAAGGTGCCACCTGGCTGTGGCCCCCTGTGTTACTGAACTGCCAGCACAGGTCCCAGACACTCTGCAGAGACACAATAAAAGCCAGCAAACTCTTTGGACAGACTGATACTGGTGAGGGGGATGTGATGAGACCAGGGTCCCCCTGGATGTAGAAACCAACTTGGGGGATGTTTCTGTCCCATTAGGAGGAGCTCCAGATCCTGGCAGGGCAGAGAAGCAGGTGTTTGGCTTAGGTCTCCTATTCTCGCCTCAGCACTGCCCTTGACAAAGGATCAGTATTGGGAAGGGACCTGGAAGTGGTCCTGGGAGGATGTTTAACCCAAGAAGACCTTGGAGCAACATGATCTCTGTCCTCAGATTTCTGGGGACAGTCACTGAGCAGGCACAGGGAAAAGTCAATTTGTCCTCTCTGCAACACTGAAAGCCTCAACATGGTGGAGAGGGAGGGAAGGGACAGGCTGCAGCCCTGCAGGAGGCTGGACTTTGTAAAGGCAGGGCTACCTTGAGCTTCACTGCTCAGACAGCAAGCTTCTCATCTCAGGAGGTATGTAAGCAGAGACCTGTGGCCACAGACACAGAATTAGGTCCTGAGTGGACAGTGTGGTTTCTGGGGCCCTTGGTAGGGGCAGCTGCCCTTCAGTGCTCCTATCAACCAGAGGAAGGAGGGGTTTTGGTAGGAATTCTAACTGTCACTTTGACCTTGCCAAGCCAGGGTCTACCTCTTAAAGGAGCAGACACACAACCATCCTAGATCCCCTGACACCTGACCCCCTACCACTGACAGAGCCTAAGGGAGACCTGAGTCTTAGTCCATCAGACTTGATGACTACCCATTCCCTTCCCTGTGCTGTGGCTTCCCTGGCAAAATTAATTTGGTGGTGTCTGAATTCCCTGCCCAGCCCTAACCTGTTTCTCTGAAGCTGACCTCCCTATGAGCAAAGTGAAGCTAGGCCTCATGGAAAGGCCTAGAACATCCTACACCCCCTCAGTTACTCAACAGCAAGGGAATAAGAAGTATCTGGAAGAGAGCTGAGTGTGAGGGCTGGGAGAAGGTCTGGAGAAGTTATCAGAACTGCCCACCACCTCCTAGGTGGTCACCTTGCTGGGCAGTGGAAGCAGGGCCAAGTAGTGGGACTGACCCGACAGACCTAGGCTCCATCCCCAGCCCTGCTCCTCCTAGGCTGTGTGACCCCAACCACATTTCAGTGAGGATCATGTGGGATGTTGGACACTAGAGTTTATGAACTATAGGGTTGTACCATGGGAAAGGGTCAGATTCACTGGCTCAGCTGTTTAACCTGACATGGTGCCTGCAGATGAAGCTGGGAGCCATTACCAGTCCCCAGGCTCTTCTCTGGGGGCTAGGGGGGAGGAGACAACAAGCCACGCCCTGCCCTCTTGCTGGAGAGTGGTTATGGTTGCTGACTTAGCAGGGAGAGTGCTTACCCTTTCCTTTAAGTGGGGAAGTAACTTTCTAAGAAATAGGGCTGTTTGGCAGTGGGCCTAGCTTTCTAGGGGCAGCAGGGAGGTTAAAGGGTACCTCAGGACAGTGCAGGAGTGGTTCCAGCTTTGGCTGGAGGTCCTACTGAATTACTTCTAACGGCTCTGTCAATAGCAGGATTTTTTTTTTTTTTAAGTTGGAGTCTCATGCTGTTGCCCAGGCTGGAGTGCAGTGGCACGCTCATGGCCACCGCAGCCTTGACCTGCTGGGCTTAGGCGGTCCTTCCCCCTCAGCCTTCCAAGAAGCTGGAACTACAGGTGTGCGCTACCATGCCCATCTGTTTTTGATTTATTGTAGAAATGAGGTCTCATCAAGTTGTCCAGGCTGGTCTCGAACCCCTGGGCTCAGGCAATCTTTTCGCCTCAGCCTGCCAAAGTCCTGGGATTACAGGCTTGAGCCACCACGCCTGGCCTATTAGCAGGATTTTTGAAGCAACACTGGGAAACTACAGGGCGATGGGGAAGGCAGCCCACTGTGGTGGGAAGACCTAAGCTACTTGGGACTAGCCTGGGCTCGCTCTCGCAGGCTGTTGTTATCAGAACCAGGCACTTCCACTCAGATCCTTGGGTCCCCCATCTGAGAGTGCCCAGGTGGTTGATGGGATGAGAGCCTATATATAGGCAGAAAGTGTTCTCAGTGATAGGTGCTTTTTTCTCATGGTTCTTTGTTCATTCCAAAGATTAGCTGAGTGCCTACTATATGCAGAGCCCAGGAGAGGGGCCTGGTCTTACCTGTCTTCTTGTCTGTCCATCTGGCACCACCTTTTGCCCTAGGCTCTTCCCTCTATGCTTTGAGCCTCCCCATCTTGATTGATGCTGTCTTCCCACCCTCAAATGGGCACTGTCAAAGAAACAGAGCCACTTTGCTCACCTCTTCTCTCCTGTCCTTTGTTGCCACTGTTGCTTGTTCTGGAAATTCTACCTTCGGAGTCTTACTACAGGCAGTGCCCACTTCCCAGCTGTAAAGACCCCAGGACACTTGTTTGTCCAGCCTCCCCTTCCAGCTGAGATTCAGTTATGTGACCATAGCTCCATGAACTGGATGTACCCAGCCTGTGTGGGAGTCCTGCTGGTGGTGGGAGTGGTCACAGGTACCAGGGGTAGCAGTGGAGGGGTAGTTCTAGTGGCCAGTCCAGTAACTGGTGTTAGGGGTGCCCAGTGGTGGCAGTAGTGATATTTTCAGTGTGATATTGGACGTTCTGTCTATGGCACCTCTGAAGCTCCCCATTATCCTTTAAGGCAGGGTTTCCCAACAGTGGCACTGTTGATATTTTGAGGCAGATAATTTTTTATTGTGTGTGTGAGGAGGGCAGTCCTCTGTGTTGTAGGATATTTAGCAGCATCCTTAGCCTCTACCCAGTAGATGCCAGCAGCAGTCCCTCAGTTATGACAACCAAAAATGTTTCCAGACATTGCCAGATACCTAAGGCAAAACCTCCCTGGCCCATAGCCCTTCTCCCTCCTTATCCAAGCTCCACCTCTTCTGCCCTGTCATTGTCCTTAGATGCTGTTGACAGCTTCTTTTTGAGGTGATCCTCCCAGGCTTCTTGTCCTGGTTCCCTGCCCTCAGTTTCAGCCTGCTTTAGCTCTTCCTCATTCCTCTTTCCTCAGCTGTCCCCCATTTATGTAAAGTTTTGTGGTTTTTGGCCACATATGGTCGCTCATGCCTGTAATCCTAGCACTTTGAAAGGTGGAGGCAGCTGGGCTTGGGCTCAGCCTGTAATCCCGTGCCTTGGGAGGCTGAGGTGAGTGGATTACCTGAGCCCGCGGGTTCGAGACCCAACTGGGCAACTTGGCGAGACCTCATCTCTACAATA